GATAGAAGCCCACCAGCTGGTTGATAGATAGACGGTTTGATGCAGAGGTTGTTGACTGTGGGAGCAGACCTTGGTGATGAGCTGCGTTGGTTGCTGTCTGGACAGTGAACGCAATCCTTTGATTGGGTAAGCAGCCTCACTTGGAGAATCTTCGGAGTAACCTTCGGAGTAGTAAGCTCTGAGTGACCGCAACTGGCAGCGCAATTGCACGGCAGCACAAGTCCTCCGTACGGAGTACTGTAGTTAATTTACCGGCACTTGCTCTATCCAAAGGCTATTTATTATACTCGAAGGCGGAAAGTGGACTAACACCCGGCCGGGATCCTCACTCCCCTTTTATTTTTTGGGAATCTTCAAGCAAATTATTTATTTGACTAGCTATCAGGAACGAAACAGTGTATTGCTGTGGATCTCCTAGAACTCAAAAACGTTACGGTAAGAAAGTGCCATTGTTTTTCTTCTTTTCTTTTCTCTCCTTTCCACCCACCAAGGCAATCAATTGTCAGATTAATCATGTAGTCATTATTCATCACCCCACAGCAACCAAACAAAGCATAATACGTCAATCAATAATGCAGCGGCAAGTCCAGTTTTTGGCCTCCTTCTCTACTCCGACCATATTCAAGCTGTGACAAAGGTCAATTCCTGTCAGTTTGCTACAAAAAACTCTTTTTTTTCCAGTGTTGGGCAGCGGCTTTTTTGATTTTCTATCCAAAGGGACGGCTCTCCTTCCGGTACCTATCCATCAATTCCTTTTCCTGTTCACGCAGGTGCTGGAAAAAAGCTCGTACGTCCAACGGATCGGGGTCTTTGCGGGGTGTTTTGCGATACCATTTGTCGCCCGTGGTTTTGCTAGCACCTCTCGTAACCGCAGAATTCAAAGCGTCGCTTGCTGCTTTGGGATTGCGGTTATCTGGATCGTTAGCCCCATCACAACGGGGTACGAATCCGTAGGCATTCACGTTATACGATGCTGTCGAAGTAGTTGCCTTTGGCTGCAAACCACCGTGATGCGCCACTTGATTCCAAGGACTGAATGGAAACTCATTGCTGCGTGGAGCAGTCTGTCTCGTTTCTTTGTCTCCAGCGGCTGCGTTCGAGGACGCCAAGGTCGAAATATGCTGTTCTGGTGCAGCTGTTTTGCCAGTGGGTGTGGGAGACATGATCTTACTATCCTTACACAAATCGTCAAGGCTACCACCATCGTAGGTTAGCCGTTTCTCTTCGCTTGCCCCAGCGTTTCTAGTTTTGGTTCTATTTCGACTAGAATAAATGTTGCTGAATTCAGTCAGTATAAGCTACCTGATGAAGAGAGATCGAATTGACAAGATGTCGTCGTATTATGTACTCACTTATCATCATCTTTGTGTTTACTCCCATTGTTGTCCTGTCCCGTATTTGTGTCCCAATGCTTTTCGGGTGTTCGGGTGGTGGAGTTTTGGTTCCTGCTTATCATAGTCAACATTTATGATTGATTCTTTATTGCCCGAAAAGCTTACATGCTGTCTTGGGAGGTAACTTGTGAACAAGTTGTAACTGGAGCGTGTGTGGTTTGACTTGTCACTGGAACTCGCAATTGTGGT